TTTGATCGATCCTAGTGGGAAATCTTATGTAATTTCGCTTCCAGTTAAGGTATTTAGAATAGTTAGACGTATCAACCTGCTTATTTTTTTAACTGCAAAGCTGAATGCCTGTTAAATCGCCCAATACATTCTTTCACATTAGTATCGAATCCTCGGTCTATGCGACTTCTCAGGACTGTGGGGGCCGAATGATCAGAGGAAGAAGGCCAACCTACAGAACTGTACTCAGGGCTAGATTTATGGTTGAGGGAGATAGGCTTGCTATGGGCAGGGTGATATCACTGACCCTGGTAACTATAGAGGAATCACTCTTCTCCTTACTCTCAGCAAACTATTTATCTCCATCCTAAAACAAAAATTAACTACCGGTAGATATTTGCAAGAAAATGAAATATTAATTAAAGAACAATTAGGTTTCATGTCAACATTTGGAACGCGAGACCACAGTCACTTGGGGGCTGAAAATCAATAAATACTAATTTTTTGAAAAAAAATCATCCGCTATACGTATATAAATAAACAAGTTGTGAAACATGGCACCTAGTAAATTGTCACCCTGTCGGTTTCAAATTTCGATTTCTTACCTTAAAATGTGAAACAAAAATTTTAGAGGGGATCAGGTGTTACGTTAATAACCATTGTTCATAATCGCTAACTTGGTTTTATTCAAAACTGCACAAATCCTGCATTTTCTGATGATATCCGACGATTTCTTAAACGAAAATGGCCAGCAGCCAGAATCAAGGGGGATTCACACAGAGTTCTGGGTAAATCAAGTGCGCATACTCATTTTCAGCCAATCAGGCGTGCCGTAACAGCGAGTATTTCCTTGTGCGCGAGACCATATTTTTGTTTTAAAACGACTAATTACAAAATTCTGTTTGGCATGAAGGCCTAATGCACAAGTTGAAACAAATGGGAATCAATAATAAATTTTATAAACTAGTAAAACGCATATACCAAAATTCTGTTGGCTGCGTGAAAACAAAAAATGGCCTGACGGACACCTTTCCTGTGCAGGGTGATGGTCTAAGCCCAATATTGTTCAATATATATATTAATGACATAAAAAAACATATACACTCGTCTGAAAATGATGCACCAACACTTTTAAATCATAAACTCCCTTGCCTATTACCGTTAAATCTGTATTAGAAGCCACATCCCTAATATAAGTCGCACCCATGCTTTTTGAATAATTGACAACCAAACATTCACAATTTCTCATATGTGTAGATACTCTAAAAGAAGCTGCATCCCTTCTGTTGCATTGTACCATTTTAATAGAAGCCACATCCCTTCTATTGCATTGTAACATTTTAATAGAAGTCGTAGCTTCTAATACAGATTTTACAGTATACGCTGATGACCTTGTAATCCTATCGCAGGCTAAATCAGGGTTACAAAATGCAATTACTAATCTTGAAACTTACTGTAAAAAATGGAGAATAAACATTAATATTGCAAAATCAAAAACTATAATATTTAACAAAAGTGGGAAAAGTTTGAATAAAATAAAATTTTATGTGAATGATCAAGAATTAGAAAGAGTATCCTCATACATGTATCTTGGTATAAAACTAAATACCACTGGGAACCTAGATAAAGCACAAGTAGACTTGAAAAACTGAAGCAGATGCTCTACTCGGAAAATCAAGTTCCCATCAAAATCTATCTGAAAATGTTTGACATTATGATCAAACCAATACTCACATATTGTGCAGAAATTTGGACATGTGACATAATAATTATAAAATAAAAACTATCTGATGCACTTATTGTCACCAATGGAAAAAATGTACTTAAAATTTTGCAAGTACATACTGAAGGTAAACTGCAGGACCACAAACCTTGCCTGCTTTAGAATTGGGACGATACCCCCTAATAACTACATGTATCAGACAGATGTTTAAATATTGGTTGAGATTGCGCAATATGCCTGAAAACAGCCTCATAAATGAAGCATACAGATTTGCAATCAATATGGATAACTTGGGCAGCCCAAATTGGGTCAATTATATTAAAACAATTCTCAAAGACCTTAAAACGGAACATGAGTTGGAAAATGGAAAGATTAATGAAAACAAATATCTAATAAATAATATTAATACAGCACTTGAAACAAACTTCAAAATAAACAGTAGGGATTCTCTAAACAATGACAATAAATGTATTAACCACAGAAATAAACTACATGTACATACTTATAGAAAATTAAAAACTGAATTTATACTTAAAAATTATCTGCTGACAGTAAATAACCCACTACACAGATCATCAATGACCAAACTAAGATTAAGCGCACATGTTTTACAAATTAAATTGGGCAGATACCATAAAATTAACATTACTGAAAGAAGCTGTCCTGTATGCGATACTAATGTCATGAAGAGCACTTTCTGTTAAAACATTAGTTATACAAACGTGAAAGACAGATCCTTCTCAACACAATTAGACAGTGTACTGAGGGAAACACTGATACAAGTTTTATCAACATACTAGGCACAAAGAATACTGTCATGCTAAAATGTCTAGCAAAATACATATATGAATGTTTCAACCTAAGAGAAAGCAAATTAATAAAAAAAAACAGCTGCCTCAGATATCTAAATAAGTAATCCTAACATTTACTTTATTAATTTGCATTTCTAACCCACTTTTGGGCAAGTTTTGTTTTAGTTTTGTTTAGTTTAGTTTTTTTATACTAGTGTATCTTCTTTTTTTTTTATTCTGAATATTTCTAACATGGAATGACAACCATGCTTTATTGTACTTAGATCTACATGTATGTCCACTTTTAGGATACGACTTCAATAAAGATTATTATTATTATATAGAAATAAATACTATAATAAATAATAAAGTATTTATTACTATATATAACCCTACCCAAGCATATCTCCCTTAACCATAAATCCGATTGCAAGCGCCTGTGTATGTAGTTATATGCTTATCAATCGAGGAAGCAAATCGGAGCAGCTTATTGATTTATTAAAAATAGAATCGTCATAACCATAGAGCATCAAAGCACCACAGTCCCACGTGTTGAGGGACTGGGTTCAGGACAGAATGTTGAACAGGATTCATAGTTTAGTTTGTTAAGCTCCAGTCAA